TGTAAGTGTACTGGAGATTCTTTTCTGCTAAAGAGTTAGATTAGTTGGAAAATTAGTTCTCATCCAATCCTTAAACTTATAGATTCCTTTTTAATCTTTTCTTCACAAAGTAAAAAATTTTAAAGAAAAAAAGTTTCTATTTTGTTTCCTTGTTTTGTTAAGAGAAATATTCATTAAAAAGACAAAATAGCAATTTGTCAATCTCATGATGTTCCTCTAGAAAATTCCCTTTTTTTCTTGGACAGTGTGATTTTTTTAATCAATTCTCTATTTTTTCTCCTTGGAAGATAGATACTCTTTCACTATTTTTACCTCATAGAACATTTGGTCTGTCATCTCTCTTGTCATGGGAGCAATAAGTGAGACTGTTCTGCTAGATTAGATACTTTTTTCTTTTCATTGATACCTAACAAAAATAATGGCATAACATTATTCAAGCAATGACCAACAGAACCAAAACAAATCTATTCAAACACTCAAACCAAACTTAAAAGCTTCTTCAAGGAACCTGGTTTTGTAATAAGTCAGACTTTTCCAGGAATTAGAAAGCATATATTCACCATACCACATATTTCCATCTTTAATTGAACGGGTATAAGAATTAACAAATGAACTTTAGTTAAGAGGCACTAATTCCACCCAGAGTCTAGATTTTTTTTTCTGACATGCATATTCTATTGTCTTCCCACTGTCTCCCTTCAATCATGTTTCATTCTAGATCTTGGGGTCCATTGTATTTTTATGTTGTTTAACCTCAACACACTGACCAAAAGACATATGGGGATGTTTGAATAATTTTCTTTCATTTTCCTTTGATGTTAATTTCTCCCTGTATTTGAATATTCTCCTTTAGGACAGCAAATTGGTGAGAGTAAAATAAGTTGGAGTTAATTCCAAAGAAAACAACTTAGTCCTTGAAGCTTTTCTGCATTTCATTGTGCTTATCAAAATTCTCTATTTTGATTTCATTATTCTGATTTTTTTTTAGTAGTATCAAAACTTTTGACATCCTTGTAAACTGGTATTTCCTTCCTATTAAAATAGAATGTCCCATAATGGATAGAGTATTGTACTTGGATTATGGAAGATCTTGAGGTAGCTGTTGTGACTATAAACTTCAGTTAACCTCTCTGAAACTCAGTTTCCTCATCTGTATAATTCCTGTAGTGGTTAAGATAAATTAAAATTTATTAAAAGTTGTTTTAAGGCTTAAATGAGATAATCTATGGAAAAAGTGTTCTGTAAAATGCTAAGGAATTGTCATTTTTATCATCATCATCAACATCATCATAATTATTGGTGCTGGAGGATCTGGAGTTATAAAAGAAATGCCTAAAACTGCCTTGTTTGGTGTGTTTAGAACTTGCATACCTATTTGAATATGTAATGCCTGTTTTAAAAGTCTCTCTTTCTGAGAGTATAGAAACCATTGCTGTATCTTTAAAAGGAAGAGATGCTTGGAATGTAATAATTTAATTAAATCTATAGATATATTTGTTTTCTCTTTAAGGCCTGATTAAATCTTCAAACTTTGAAGAATCTCATTCAAAATGAAAGACCTCTGGAGAATATATTTCAGTCTGACTCTGTTTAAGGTTTCCATATTTTGAATAGAAGAGCCTTTCTGGGCAACTTCTAGTCTTTGATCACTGTTTAATAGAATGGATGTTTATGTATCTGCTGTAAAACAATTCCAATTAAAATCTGTTGATCTTCCAAGGGGAGCTCTCTCACTTCCTTGTGGCAAAAATGAAAAGAAAGAATGACAAAATAAATTAGAAGTCATATAATCACAGACATTCTCCCTGTGAATCCTAATGATTATTCATTTAAAATGAGGAAAAAGACTTTCCTCTACCTAGTTTGTCCCTGCCAAAATTCCCTGGAAATTCAGAATTAATGTTCATGCATAGAAAAATCCATATTGAATATCAACAATGAATCACTGATTTTCTTGCCAATTCAATTCATAAGATGTTTATTAATCACCCACTGCATGCAGAACGTTATCCTAAACTATGAAAGAAGTAAAAAGTTGAGACAAGACCAGCTTTCTCCTTTTATGGAGCTTAAAATCTCTTTTATAGATAAGACGTAAGTTCACATATCTATAATACATACTATTATGTGCTAATGCATTATAGACTTTCAGTACAAAATATGTAAGGTCTTAGGGGAAAGTCATTACTGCTGGAGGATTGATGTATCATGGAAGATTTCAAAGAAGGGCAACTATTTAAACTGCACTTTAATAAATGAGTTGGAATTTAATAGTTGAAGAAGTCACTTCTAGGCATAAGGAGCAAAACGCCTACATTTATATCAGCTTTCTATTTTCTTTTTTCTATTAAAGGTGAGTTAGGAAGATTCAGAGCCTAAAGGACATCAGACTTGTTTTGCTTGACTACTGGTGGAGTCAATGGGTAGAAGTTGAAGAAACTTATTTTTTTTAATGCAACTAGTTGTGGTACGGATTAGAACAGAATAAAAATTAAAAAGAAATTATAAATTAGACAGTAAATTCATGACTTTAGTAATAAGATAAAGATTTTGTGTGAGGGAATGAGAGAATCTGAATTTAATTAGACTAATTCAAGCCACCCCTCTCTTGGAGTATGATGAAAATATGACTGACTCACTTCATTCCCATTGTGAGGCTGAGTACTATGTTAGATGTCTACACACAGGCAAGTAAGAAGTAAGGAATCATTTGTTTTGTGAAAGAATTATTGAATATCTGCCTATCCTGGGAACTAATTTGTACAAAGAAACAAACACATTAATAGCCAATGGTAAACCACAGGAGTGTTTTCTGGTGGATGTGGGCTTAATTGTTAAAAGTACTGACATTTATTAAGTATGTAAATTGATATCTAATTAACTTACCTCAGCTATCTTATTAAATGCCAATTAAGTATATTACATTTCTTATAATTTTAATATACCAATAAGAATTTAACTGTACCTTTATTGCCATTGTAATTTTGAGTTAATTACATGGCTAGATGATTTACCTTTGCATAATTATAAAGTCTTTGCCTCTGTTCTTTAAAATAATAAAATTAGGGGTTTTTAAAAACTGTGAAGATGATAGGTTCTCTGGAATTTAGCCTCCTTTCAATCTTGAAACTACTTTTTGATCAGAAAACATTCGCTTCCTCTCTTCAGCTGAAAATACATAATGATTCTGGTTTATAAGCAGGAGATTATGCACTACCATAACATGCACCAATCACAGTTATTTGGTTTTTTATGTATATATATATATATATATATACAGGAAGGTATTTTTTTTTCCTTGATACTCAAGGACAACTTTAATTAAAATTGATAATGGAACATTCCACTGAGAAGCACCCCTTTTGGATCCTTCCACAAGGACAAACTCTATATTCCCTTTATATCTTCCCCAACAGCTTTGCAATTTTATATACTTTGCAAACACTTGATAAATAAATGGATGAAAATATCCCTTCACCCTCACCACACTTACATTTCTATTTTTTTCTGCATTAAAAAACTAACCATGTGATTTATTTTCATTCTAATCACCCAAACCTAGAAAAAATTTACATACAGAATTAAGCCTAGCTTGTTGTTTGCATGGGGTCTAGTTGTCTTAAATGAGGCAAGAAGAACAAGGAGAAAACTCACATCAAATTTACTTAAACTGTATGGATCTTGTAGGTTGTCTGTTCTAACCACCTCATTTTAAAACTGAGGAAAATAAGCCTCAGAGTTGAAGGTCACTAGATAATAATAACTAACATTTATATACCTTTCTAACAAATTTGTAAAGTACTTTACATAAATTAGGTCATTTTTTCTCATGAAAATTCTGTGATGTACATAGTATAGGAATTATTAAAACCATTTTGCAGGTGAGAAAACTTAGGCTCAGACAGGTTAAGTGACATGTCCATTCATACAATTTGTAATTATCAGAGATGAATGGGTGTTGTCTCAGACAAACTGAGCCCTGGAAAAGACATTAACTTAAAAATGTCAGTGTCTCCTACTGCATCTGGGGCTATCACCAGTCATCCTGACCTATGTCTTGCTACTGAACTCCTTGACCTTGGAGGAGAAAGTGTGACTGATGACTTTGTACAACCTTGCTTGACTTAAATCCAATTCACTTGCAAGTCAAGGCATCACCTTCCTGATGCCATTGATCCCCTTCAAGAACGAAGGACGAACAACAACAATCAGAGATATTATTTGAACCCAAGTTATCCTGACTCTCAGCCCAGTGAATAGTTCAGTGCTATGCAAACTACCTGTCAGAGCAACAGAGTCAGGATGAAAATATATATCCTCTGATTTCAGATAAAGTTTTATTTCCATTAAGCCATGTTATTTCTCTAACTGAGGATACCAACACAACAATCTTCCCCACATTATACATATATACATATATATATATATATATATGTCATTCATAGAGAGGGAGAAGATGTTCCACCCAGACCCCCACTTTGATCATAAGAGCAAGGACTCTGAAGGCTCTGAATGATTGACATGGAATACCCAGGGAAAAAATACACCCTCCTGCAGGCAAAAACTGGAGAGAAATTAGAAGAACCTTCAGATTATACATTCTAACTATCTCATTTTATAGATATGGAGACAAAGGCCCAAAGTGGGGAAATGACTTTCTCAGGGCCACCTGTATAATAAGTAACAGGGTAAGGAGCCAAACCCACATTTTATAACTCTAAACATATTACTGGCCATTAGCTATGTTTTCTCCTTCACTTACATTTGAAGGACAGATAAAAGTAGCACAATGAAATTTTCTTCCATTACTAAATGAAACATCATCGTATGCTAGTTATAAATACATGTACTTTGGAACCATTAGGTGTTTTAGAACAAAAAAAATCATTTGATAGCTTTTTCTTCTCCTTTTCCATCCCTTCCTCCTCTCCCTTCCTCCCCCATCCCTATCTTTTCATTCATCCTTTCTTCTTCCTCCCTTCCCCAGCCTAGATGATGCCATGGTGGAGACGGCCAAGGAGGACACAGAACCTGCTGAGGCAAACATCACGGGACTGTGCCAGGACATGTTCTCCAAAATGGCCACATACCTGACAGGTGAGCTGACAGCCACCAGTGAAGATTATAAACTTCTGGAAAATATGAACAAACTGACTAGCTTGAAGTATCTAGAAATGAAAGATATTGCAGTAAACATAAGTAAAAACCTAAAAGACTTAACCCCAAAATATGAAGCATTTCAGTCTTATCTGGATCAGATCACCTTCATTCAGGAGCAAATAGCAATTCTTGAGCAGGCAGCTTACAAGTTGAATGCATATTCAAAGAAACTAGAAGCAAAGTACAAGAAGTTAGAGAGGCTATGAAAGAATTCTTTAGCACAAAGACTTTAACTACAAAAATGTTTCATAAGAGCTGAAATAAGTGGGATGGAACTTATCACAATGTTTCAATTCATAAAAGGAAGTGGTGCTGCTGATGCCAGGAAAATCCCAGCCCTCATCTCTATTTGGATGTGTAATTTTGGCCACTCCTTTATCTTTCCCAAACCTGTACCCCCTAGAAACTTATCATGTGTTTCGTTGTGTATCCTAGACCAAGGCTGAGTATTCAGGATCAACTCGGTCTAGAGCAGAAACACAGGAGAAGCTCTGATTTCCCTGTCTCCTCCCTTCTTCCCTCTCTCCTAGGGCTTCACCTTGTACTCAATGTTATGAATGTGCCCCCCACCCCCTTCATAACCTGTTCTTCAACTTAAATAATAAATACCTACTTAGGACCCTCAAAAAAATCATTTGATAAAATAAGTTCTGCTAGAGGACTGAATTGCAGGCAGCTCTGGCAGTTTCCACACTTCTCAACCCACCAACACCAAAGACAACTTAGAAGGTCAGTGGGAAAAGTCTGTGTCTATGGTGAGAGAGAGAAGCATGGTTCCAGCCTCAGTTCCCAAGCTTGGCCCCTGGAGCGGCAGCTGCCTCTGGAGTTTCCGGCCCACAGACTGAGGGTGAATTGAGTGGCTCATCAGAGGGGGACTGCAGGGATCTCTCTGCTGGTGCAGGACCCTCTTGCTTTCCCATTCCTTGGATCTGAGTCACAGTTCTGGGTGGCAGCCCTGGGGCGAGGAGGAGTACTGGCATGGTAGAGCTTGTAGTGGCAGTGGAGAGAAAATCCTCCTCACAGTTCCAAGACAGAAAAGAATGCTTGTGGTCACTCATAGACCAGAGCACAGGCCAGGAAAGGAGTAAACCCTTTGCTCTTGATCATAGCAACTTGGAAGAACTGAAAATTTACAGGTCCCTAGAAGTATCTCTGAAAATAGCTGCACAAAAGCCCCGAAGCATGGGACAGTACATTCTCCACACTGGAAGCATACTCCTACCTTAACAAAGAGTTTATAACTCAAGTAATTGGCTGGAATCATGAGCAAGCAGTGCAAAGAGTCAGACCATAGAATCTTATTTTGGTGACAAAGAAGATCAAAACATACAACCAGAAGAAGACTACACAGTCAAAGCTCCTACATCCAAAGCCTCCAAGAAAAATATGAATTGGTCCCAAGCCATGGAGGGGCTCAAAAAGGATTTTGAGAAGCAAGTAAGAGAAGTACAGGAAAAACTGAGAGTGATGCAAGAAACTCATGAAAAACAAGTGAACAGCTTGCTAAAGGAGACCCCAAAAATACTGAAGAAAATAACCCCTTAAAAATAGCCTAACCCACATAGCAAAAGAGATGCAAAGAGACAATGAGGAGAAGAATGCCTTAAAAAGAAAAATTGGCAAAATGGAAAAAGAAGTCCAAAAGCTTAGTGAAGAAAATACTTCCTTAAAAATTAGAATGGAGCAATTGAAAGCTAGTGACTTTAAGAGAAATTAAGACACTGTAAAACAAATCCAAAAGAATGAAAAAAAAATAGAAAACAATGTGAAATATCTCAATGGAAAAACAACTGGCCTGGAAAATAGATCCAAGAGAGAGAATTTAAAAATTATTGGACTATCAAGCCAAGATAAAAAAAAAAAGAGCCTAGACACCATCTTTCAAGAAATTATCAAGGAAAACTTACTTGATATTTTAGGACCAGAGGGCAAAATAGAAATGGAAAGAATCCACTGATCACCTCCTAAAAGAGATCCCCAAAGGAAAATTCCTAGGAATATTGTAGCCAAATCCCAGAATTCTCAGGTCAAGGAGAAAATATTGCAAGCAGCCAGAAAGAAACAATTCAAGTATTGTTGAAACACAATCAGGATAACACAAGATTTAGCAGCTTCTACATTACGGGACCACAGGGCATGGAATATCATATTATGGAGGGCAAAGGAGATAGGATTACAACCAAGAATCACCTCCCCAGCAAAATTGAGTATAATCCTTCAGGGGAAAAATGATCATTCAGTGAAATAGAGGACTTTCAAGCATTCTTGATGAAAAGACCATAGCTGAATAGAAAATTTGACTTTCAAATTCAAGACTCAATAGAAACATGAAGAGGTAAACAGGAAAGAGAAATCATAAGAAACTTACTAAGGTTGAATTGTTTATATTCCTGCAGGGAAAGATGATATTTATAACTCAGGAGTCCTTTGTCAGTGTTAGGGTAGTGGGAGGGAAAAATTATATATATACAGAAGGGGGGGGCACAGGGTGAGTTGAAAATGAACTGGTGATATCTGGAGAATAAAATTAAGGGGTGAGAAAGGATTATACTGGGAGAAGGAGAAAGGGAGAGGTAGAATGGGGTAAATTATCTCACATGAAAAAGACAAGAAAAGGCTTTTACAGTGGAGGGGAAATGAAGGAAGGTTAGAGGGAATGAGTGAATCTTATTCTCATAGGATTTGGCTTAAGGTGGGAATAACATACACACTCAATAGGATGTGGAAATCTATCTCACCCTACAGGAAAATAGGGGGGAAGGGGATAAGAGAGCAGGATGATGATAGAGGGAAGGGAGGTTGGGGGAGGGGGTAATCAGAAGCAAACACTTCTGAGGAGGGACAGGGTCAAAAGAGAGAATAGAATAAATGGGGGGCAGGATAAGATGAAGGGAAATATAGTTAGTTTTTCACAACATGACTACTATGGAAATGTTTTGCATGCCTACACATGTGTAACCTTTATCGAGTTGCTTGCCTTTTCAATGAAGGTGGGTGGGAAGTGAGGAAGGGAGAAAATTTGGAACCTAAAGTTTTAAAAACACATGTTAAAAAAATTATTTTCACATACAACTATGAAATAAGAAATATAGGAAATGGGGTGTAGAAATCTATCCTACCCTACAAGAAAATAGAAGGGGAAGGAGATAAGAAAAGGAGTGGGGAGAGATAGAAGGGAGGGCAGATTAGAGAAATGGGTATTCAGAATGCATGCCATCTAGGGATGGGGGGAGAAAATTTGGACCTCAAAATCTTGTGGAATTGAATGTTGAAAACTAAAAAATAAATAAATTCTAAAAAATTCAAAAATATAAGATAAGTCCTGTTTAAAAGAATATTTATAGGTCAAGTGTGAGTGCATTAGTGGGAAAATGATGCTTGAAGTTACCAAATCAGAATTATTTTAGGCAATGACAATAGCATGTATTCATCTAATATTATGATGGATAGGATAAAAATTCATCAGAAACACTGAATTAGATGTACTTACTTCACTCATCCAGGAAATGTATTTTGGTGCCACAAAGCAATAGGTTATGTTATAATCTAAGTTTCAGCTCACAACCTCCCTGATCCTTAATATGATCATTGGTAAAACAGTGTGGGAGGATTTGTGAGGGAGATGGAACTGTTGTGGGGAGAGGTGTTAGGGTTGAATGTTTCTTAGATCTCTTCACACTCTAAACCATAGGATATTACTGGAGTTTTGCTCTCACTTTAATAATTAGAGTTGAACTAACTCTTTAATGTTCCTGGATGTGACTGGAATGAGGAGTAGAATTTGATGACATATCATCTAAATTAAGTAAGGTAAAATAATTCTTTATCCTACTCTGCTGAAGATGTGTTCCTCTCCTAGATAATTAATGGCTATTCCTTTCTGACATTTGATCATTATTTCTTTCCTAATCTGTTCTTGCTTAAGGCTTCTATAAAATTTTAAATAAAACCTCCCATAAAGTTATCAGGTGTCAAGGACAATCATAAAAATTGCTGTTAACAAAATAACCTTAATGAAATAGGGGGAAATCTGAAGGCCTTGTCCAGATGCTTCCAGTTAAAAATGTTTCCTCTGATTTGCAGTTATTTATAGGACCATTAATGATGGAATTCAGTATGAAATAAATGTCTTTCTGTTTGCAGTTATTTATGGGGCCAATGAGCATATGAACACCTCATACATTAAGTTCTGTAAGGTTCTGTAAGGTTCATTCGGTGTCAACATGGAATTTAGTGATAGGATTTCCCTAGCATCTTCACAGTAGGCTAGTTGTTAGACTCTGACACTGACTGGTAAGGATAAGAAAGTATTGCCACTAAAGACTAAAGTAGGTTTATGGAAATTGGTTTAATGATTTCAGTGTGACTCCACAAAAGCAATATTATACTTAATGGAGATTATGATTCTTTCCAGTCCTCTGAACAATGAAAATAAAGTTGTTTCTACCTGAGAAAAGATCTACATTTTGCAAAGCAACTATTCTCCCCTCTTTCTCCACTCTCTACTTCTCTATTAAAGTCAAATATAATAACACTTTCATCAGACATCAGCAGTGTTTTATTTCTGGAGTTAAATTTAATGGAAAAAAAACATTTATTAGTACCAACTTCAAGGTAGATTTCTTCAAAGTAGTACTGTACATAGTGTGTGGGCCTGCATTTTGAAGAACAGGAGTAAAAATTATGATCAAAGAAATGCAAAAGGAAAAATAATTGGCTGTTCTTTTCTAGGATGAAGGATAGAAATTGGATAGAAGCTCCATTTGTATCCTCATGATATCAAACAAATGCAAGAAAGACCTCCATCATGTTGCATAGACTCCCTATGGTGAACTTGATAGGAAGTCATGGAAAAGAGTAACCTGAGATAGTCAGAATCAAATAAAATGCAAGCTTCCTTCATAAAAGGAATATCCCCACCTATATGATTAAAGTAAAGTTGAATATTTAAATATGTACAAGTATTTGTTAGATGCTGGGGATACAAAGACAAAAACTAAATAGTCTCCATCTTCAATGCATTTAAAATCTATTCTCAGATACCACAAAAAATCACAATTCTCCTCTATACCACAAACATTCTGCATGAACACCTCTACTTTGGCTACCTTTAAGGAAGACAATCTTTCACTGATTTGAAGGTTCATTTTATTTTAATGTGACTGGATCTGAACCTTAATCTCCCCTCTAATCATCCTATTTTCTT